GATTTAGAAAGTGCCTGCCTTTAAGGACTCTGTAAGAAAGAAAGATGTGCTTCTGCCTTCAACTGCACACAGGATTTCTCTCCTGTGTCTTCTGCTCTTACTGATGCCAAGTCTGTCTTACATCCAAGACCTTTTGCCTTCTTGGTGTCGTGGCCTGGGGCAGGGTGCACAGCCTGTCCTTGCCCGCTGCTCTGCTTGCTTTCTCCTAGGTTCGACGAGGTGCTTTATAGATCGTCTCAGGACCTTCAACCCCGGCACATTGTCAGCTACCTTCTAACTCTGAGGTACTTTATAATCTTCCTGTTTTCCGGTGTGAATGACGTTTGAGACCTGACAAGGATCTTTTCTTTCATCTAAAGGTTTCCTATAAAGTCCCTTGGCTGAAAAATTAATGTGCTTTATGTCATAAGAATTCTTGATTCATCGTTGTACGTTCACAGTTAATGTTCATTCATTCATTCAGTGATATAAAGTACAGTCACTGTAGTCTGGTGAACAGGAACTGACAGCTACCTAGATAGTTACAGCACAGTGCATCGATGGTGTGATGGAGTGCACATCAGAGACAAAGTTAGGGCACCCAGCTCAGCCTTGAAGGATCAGAGGAAGCTCCTCTGAGGAAAAAAGTAGATATTGATGAGAAGCAACATAGCTAGGAAGGAGAAGCAGCCCAGAGTTGAGCAAGAACATGATACACTAAAGGAGCCATAAGCATTGTCCCGGGAGGGATGAGAACTGAAGTGCGTACAAGCCTTTCTGCTGTGTATTGAGGCGTTTAGACTTCTTTCAGGGCAGCGAGATCCACAAGGGGTTCTAAGTGGAGGCACAGAAAAATCAGCCAGCCAGAGAACAGAGAATTAACTGGAGGCAAATCAGTGACCCCGATAGAACTTTTATGGCGCCTTTTAAAACCTTTGAATCAAAGTCGAATGCATTCTTGTAATGCGACAAATGTATCATCCCATAAAACAATTTAAGAAAGGGAATTTTGCTTTTACTCAAGAGCTACTGAAATCTGAGACTTGCCAGGCCAATTTTCTTGATTATACCTTTTGCCTTGTCTTCCCCGGATTTAGATAAGATTTTTCTCTTCCTTTAAGTGCCACTTGGACATTTTTGGGTGAAGAAGGCGGAAAGTCTTATGAAATGATATTTCATCATTAAAAGGAAGTCTTACCTTGATTTACATGCTGTGTAAACAGAAAAGATGCTTGAAATAAGAGTGGGCGGTATATGTGCAAGGTGGATTGGTGTCCACCTCACCTCCTCACTGCTTGGGGGACACGGCCAGGCCGTGTTACACTCTTAATTGTAGGCTGCCTCAATGAGGAAAAACTAATTATTAGAAAGGAACCTCCTCTATTTATAAAACTGACGACAAAATCATAATCTTAAGCATTTCCCGCCTGTTAGTAGAACCAGGTCAAAATCTAACGCTTGAGTGTCGTGTATCTTGTCTGTTGTCGAAAAGCAGTGAATTCCAGTCTCAACTTTTCAATTTGTAAGTAATGGTCCTAGGCTTTGATTTGAGGGAATAAGGTTAGACATCAAGCTCATGTTACAACAGGAAATCACTGCTAGTACTCATGATTTCTCTCTTCCTGTTCCAGTCATCTTGCAGCTGTGGCACACAAGACACTACAAATAAAGGAGAGTCCTCCTGAAGTGGCCGGGGTACGTTATGTGGAATGTCTTCAGTAGAATCCCTAGCATCCGCAGACTGACATTACTAAGTCAGTCTGTAAATGTTTCCCAAATAGCATTCTGTTGTTCGACTACATAAGCGTACATACTGACTCAGCCATTAGGCAGTAACAGCCAGTGTTGACTGGGCAGTAACGACCCATGGTATACACTTCCCAGCATACACATTTTCCTACATCAGGTGTTACAGGGACACGATCCCCTTCTCTGAAGCCATACTGTGAAGATACTGCCACTTCCACCCCATGACACCTTGTGCACCGTCTTACCATAAGAGATGCTAGGAGTTGATCTTGTCATCTTGTCTGTGGTAAACTCTAGGGCATTTTGAGATATAGTTCCTACTTTGAATTAGAAGAAAGAATTACTTCTTAGGCTGGGTGCGGTGGCTTGAGCCTGTAATCCCAACACTTCGGGAGGCCAAGGCGAGAGGATTGCTTGACCTCAGGGGTTCAAGACCAGCCTGAGCAACATGGCAAGACCTCATCTCTACAATAAATCAAAAAATAAGCTGGGCGTGGTAACACACGCCTCTAATTCCAGCTACTTGGAAGGCTGGGGTGGAAGGATCACCGGAGCCCAGCAGGTTGAGGCTGTGGTGGCCATGAGCATGCCACTGCACTCCCACCTGGGCTACAGAGTGAGACTCCGACTCAAAAAAAAATTTAAAAGTAAAAATAAATAAAACCATTCTTATTTATAGGTAGCGAGCCTGTTATTGAATTGAACACTTAATCATTCTTTCATTTATTTTGTAGGCCAGACTTCATCTTTTCAAAGCTGTCCGTTCTGTCCTAGCCAATGGAATGAAACTTCTTGGAATAACACCTGTATATAGGATGTAATTTCTAATTAAAATGGCTTGTAAAATGCTAAGTGAATTCTAGTTATCTATTCTTAGATGCCTTGCTGATCAGAATGGACTTTAAGCTATTATTCTGTGTCAGAATCTGTATTTTATTAAGTGTAAATGACTTATCAAGCTTTTCAATCTTTATCCTTAAATAAATAAATAAATAATTTATCTGAGTTGTCGAATGGTCAGTAGGTTCCTTTTTTTTCTTTTGAGTTGAATTCTGTCACCCAGGCTGCAGTGCAGTGACACGCTCATGGCCACTGCAGCCGTGACCTGCTGGGCTCAGCAATTCTTCCACCTCAGCCTTCCAAGTAGCTGGAACCACAGGTGCACGACACCATGCCTGCCTATTTTTTTGGTGTATTATAGAGACGAGGTCTCGCTATGTTGCCCGGGCTGGTCTCGAACCCCTGAGCTCAGGCAGTCCTCTTGCCTCCACCTCCCAAATTGCTGGGATTACAGGTGTGAGCCACAGCGCCTGGCTGGTCAATAGGTGCTTAAATGGACATTTGTAAAACTAAGTTGAGCCAAGCTAAGTGGCTCATGCCTGTAACCCCGGCACCTTGGGAGGTGGAGGCAAGAGGATGCTCGGGTGCAGGGGTTTGAGACCAGCCAGGGCAACATGGCAAGACCTCATCTCTACAGCAAATGAAAAAAAATTAGCTGGGCATGGAGGTGTGCACCTTTAGTACCAGCTGCTGGGAAGGCTGAGACCGAAGGATCTCCTGAGCCTCGTGGGTCGAGGCAGTGGTGGCCATGATCATGCCACTGCCCTCCATCCTGGGCGACAGAGAGAGACTCAAACTCAAAACATACAAAATAAGTAAAACTAAGCTGAATCTTTTAAAACTCAAAGCACCGTGGTCTAAGGGGCTAAAGGATTAGTATTTAACTCTGGCTTCAAGTTCCTCACAATGTCATTTTTCCAGAAACTCTTCTTATAACTGAGATGACCTCATGTTTTCATCAAATAAAAGAATTGATGAGGAGAAAAAACTGTCTTTTTGCAATTGTGGCTAGTTCTGAATAGAGGTTAAAAAATAATGATCTGTCAGTATAGCTGACAACTCCCAGAGAGAACAGAATTTATACTTACCTTATACTTACTATAACCAGGAACTGAAAACATTTTAATAGGAAGGAATTCTAATACATCGTATTACGATCTTTTTGTAAAATGTAGTCTGTTAACCCATGGTGTGAAATGGAGTTTCTTAGTTTCCTTCAGGCTTCTGCATAGTGATAAGGTATATTCTGTGGCATATAACACGAGCAGGATGTAGTTTTTTGGGGTTTTTTTTTTTTTTTGAGTCAGTCATTCAGGTGATACTTCTACCTCTGCTTCCCAAGTAGCTGGAACTACAGGTGCACACCACCATGCCTAGCTAATTTTTTGATTTACTGTAGAGACGAGGTCTTGCCAAGTTGTCCAGGCTGGTCTCAAACCCCTGGATTCAGGCCATCCTCTTGCCTCCGCCTCCCAAAGTGCTGGGATTACAGGCGTGAGCCACTGTGCCCAGCTAAAATGTAGTATTTTGATCAGCATTGCCCATCCTTGTCGACCAGCACTTCCATTCAAGTCTGCTATAATTTGTCCTAAATGTTGCTAATCAAAGTCCTCTGAGTACCCGTAACAATCTATTTCCACAAATAGAGAAGCAAATTAGCACAAACCAAAGCTTTTCTAGTTAGAAGGAAAATGGCTTTGTATTAACAAACATGGCTTACCTTTCTAGGCCTTGAAAAGACTCATCCATGCAGTCTCAAGTTTAAGCGAATTTGCTTCCAGACTGCTAATTCTTCCGCTAGTGTTAAAACTCCCTTAGCATAAACTGGCCGTGGAATGAAAAAGTAACGTAGGGACACACTTTACATGCCCAACAGACCTCTCCGCCTTGGTGGATAAACCGCCTTCCCCAGACCACTGGCGGCCTCCTGAGTATCTGAATCGTGAGGGAAGCAATACAGGGAGGCAATGGGCAGAGCAAAATCCTTACAAAAGCAGCTCCCTGAAAAGACTGTTCATTAAGTCCTATAACCTAGAACCCTGTAACCCTGACTGGAGAGCTTCTTATAAATTCCTTTTTTTGCTTAAGCCTTGCCAGACTTGGTTTTTAGCTATTATTTGCGACCAATCTTAATTGACACAATTCCACGTACAGAAAATAATGAATTTTTGTTCGTTTTTCTTATTTTAAAGATACGGGGTTCAGTTCAGGGTTAGGTACACAAATGTTCATCATGCAGGTGCCCTGGTTGATGAGGTGTGCCCCTCCCTCCCCTGGCAGTCTCCCTCAACTGCCAATCCCACCCCACCTCTCCACCCCCGGCAGTTTCCCACTCCTGCCAATCCCTTTCTGATAGTGCGACAATAGCTCGAGGTTGTTTTTACATCATCGTAATGTCCTATCTACAGTGCAAGAAAAGTACTTATACAGAATTCATATAAATAAGTTTATTGCTGAATTTTCCCATTAACATTACAGAAAATTTTTTAAAAACACTGATTTCACAAATTATTGAGAGCCCAACAGTTAAACATACTTTATTTAAAAAAGTACAAAAGTGACATTAGAAATTTTTTTGAAAAGTCTATCATCTGACAGCAAAGCGATATGAGCCAGACAGCGAATGCCACAAATAGAGCACGAAAGGAGCACTCTTGTCACCCAGACGTCGCCGCGTTGTGAGCAGGTTCAGTTTGAGAAGTGACACCTTCAGCCTGTTTCTAAGAGACCTCTCTCTCGTAAGAAAAGAGCTAGGTGTTTACTGCTGCTGGGGCAAAATACTATACATGATTGAGAACAAGGAGGCGCCACCCTTCCCCCAGTACCTGAACGGTCAGTACAGAAATGGCTTTGGCACTTGATCCCTTAGACGTTGTCCCAAACCCTGAAACTTAAACACTGTAGCCTCACATGATTTTTTAAACACCGTGTCATCTCTGTACTTTTTATATACATTATACACACACACACACACACACACACACATAACAGAATTCCTTCATTTTAAGACAATACAACCTGACCCCAAACAGGTCCACGCTCAATCTCCATATGAGCAATTCCCTCAGATAGCGTTCTTCCGGATTCTTAGGCCATACAGTTAATTTGTTGTTGTTTGTTCAAGCAACTTCTGGGAACGACGTAAGGCTCTAGTTTAAGCAGATGGTTTAGTCTTAACAGGAATCTCACTGAGGCTAAAATCACACACCGATGACTCTTTCTTTCGAAGCTGTTTCCCCTTGTTGGATGGATGTAGTGTCTTGTCTGGGCAGTCCATAGAGATATATGGAAACACATACCAGAAGGGTGCCCAGAGCAAAGGTGAGTGCTGCAGAGGAAGAAGAAAACAAAGCTTCACCTGTGTGTGTGTCTCGAAAACTCTGTGATAATGATCAGTTTACAACTTTGAAGAACTTTTATTTGTGGGTGTACACTGTCAGATGAGAAGTAAAGCTAAATATCCTGTTGGTTTTTTTTTTAGCTGGAGTCTCACTCTTGTCGCCCGGGCTGGAGTGCAGTACCACACTCTCGGCCACCACAGCGTCGACCTGCTGGGCTCAGGCGATCCTTCTGCCTCAGCCTTCCAAGTGGCTGGAACTGCAGATGCCTGCCACCACGCCCAGCTAGTTTCCATGATTTATTGTAGAGACAATTCTCACCAAGTTGCCCAGACTGGTCTGTAACCCTGGGCTCAGGCAGTCCTCTCACCTTGGCCTCCCAAAGTGCTGGGGGTTACAGGCTGAGCCACCGCACCCAGCCAAATATCCTGTTTTTATGATGGTCAGGTTTAGAAAGGTCATCCATTCTAGATTTTAAATGTAAAATCAAGGAGTGCTGATCACTGACAGAACACGAGTATGCCTGTCTTGGACCACGCTGACAAAGAACACATGAACTTCCCGATAAATATATAAATTTAAAAATACACAAATATAAAATATAACTATACATAAATACAAAAGAAAATGCAGTGGAATGTGCCTTTTCCGTGATACTAAAAACTTGTGAAAGTTTGGAGCAAACCTGTAAAGAGACAGTTGGGCAGTATTCAAAGAGTTAGGTGACCAATTATTCAAACCACTAAGGATTTCTGAATAGGAGATGATGTAATTTACTGACTAAAATTACAATTATTGCCAGTCTTAACCTTTTTTATCTTAATCCTGAAAATGAGGATACAAGAAACTGAATTTTAACTTGTTCAAACTTGACAAGTATGCATTATGTAAATAAATGTTTATGTTGCCAGGCATGGTGGCTCACACCTGTAATCGTAGCACTTTGGGAAATGGAAACAAGGGGATTGCCTGAGCACAGTGGTTTGAGACCAGCCTGGGCAACTTGTCAAGACATTGTCTCTACAATAAATCAAAATGTTAGCTGGGCATGGTGGCACACACCTGTAAACCCAGCTACTTGGAAGGCTGAGGTAGAAGGATTGCCTGAACCCAGCAGGTCGAGGCTGAGGTAGCAGTGTGGGTGTCACTGTACTCCAGCCTGGGCGACAGAGTGAGACTCTGACTCAAAAAATTAATTAAATTTAATAAATGCTTGTGTCAAAACTGTATATTCTTTCAAAACAGCATTGTGTGTGGAGCACAACGGCAGTCTTAAGCTTTAAAAATGACATGCGAGAAATGGCATCAAGCTGTGATTTCAATTCACCCCTCACCAAAAAGCCCAGCTTTGCCTTCAGAAATGGAAGAGAGGAATAAAAACTTGCATCTAAATAGTTCACTGAAATTTCTCAGACAGTTGAACTGGTGATCAGTAAGACAGAACATTAACCAGAAACATTTGCTTCTGCTCTCAAATATTCCTTGGGCACAAAGCCATAATGATTTTGCTGAACATAAAGATGGATCAGAACTGCAGTTAAGAGTTCACACAAGTACGGTGAGAAAAGCATAAGGGATGGCCTGCATACACCTGACACTGAAATGGCGAGTGGCTGGCCTTGCACAGACCAGGCACCGTTCTGCACACGTCACCTGAAGACCCTAGGAGGTAGGTGATACTGTTCCCATTTTACAGAAGAAACCAACACACAGCTGACATGACTTCCCCAAGACTGCACAGCTAATAACTGACACAGGCAAGATTTGAGCCATACTGTAAGTGGCATTCTAGGATTTCTGCAACACGAATATCCCTCTATTTGCATTTATAACAGTCAATTTTAAAACGAAATGTAAATATAGGCCAGGTCTGTTTCTTTTTCTTAATGTGAATATTTGATATTCGTCATACATTAGTTTATGGTATACTAACTGATCAGCAAAGAAAATTATTACACCACAAAAGCATTCTGTAGTGTTAAGTCGCTATCACTGCTTAAACAGTTCACAAGCCTAAATTATGTTGGGTGTGACAGCGGGGATAATTCCATCACAAGAACCAGCAAAGCAGTGGTGCCAGAATGCCAGCTACAGTGGCACGCGTTCTAATAATGAACTGAATGAAATGAATATATCTTTACAAATGACAAGCAAATTTAGACTTGGATTGTATTTTCAAAACCAATTCACACCCAGATCCGAAACAGCTAGGGAGGTACAAGCTAAGTGGAGAATGAAAGGTGTTTTTCTGCTTTCTTCTAAATAACAAGCTAGATAGTTTAATTTGGCTGCTCAGAGCAACTGTTTCCTAATGTGAGTACCTAATCACACTGCATTCATCTGGAATCACCCAAGTTGTCCTGTATCTAATATTTAAAAAGCACAGGGAGGCCTTGACTGTTAAAAAAAAAAAAACTCTTTTTAGTACCTGAGTAGCTCCCGCACTTTCACCTAGAAGCAGCAACCCTCAGCATAAGCTCTAGAGCCATTTAACCTAAGCACTGTTTAACCACATTCCACACAGCTACCAAAAGCTGCACTTGTGGAATAAATTGTAACAAAATAGGAATTTCTGTAAATAGTATGGCTAACCCCCTCCTCTCTCCATCTTTTTTTTTTTTTTTTTTGAGCCAGAGTCTCACTCTGTCACCCAGGCTGAAGTGCCATGGCACAATCACAGCTCACCGCAGCTTTGACCTGGATTCAGAACGTCCTTCCACCTCAGCCTCCTAAGTAGTTGGGACTACAGGTACATGCCACTATGCCCAGCTAATCTTTTCTTCACGCAACGAGGTCGCGCTATGTTGCCAAGGCTGGTCTTAAACTCCTGGGCTCAAGCAATCCTCCCACCTTGGACTCCCAAAGTGCTGGAATTCCAGGGGTGAGCCAACACACCTGGCCCCAACTGCCATTTTTAATAAGTGATGAGATGAATCATGGAAGTGAGAGGCTTTCCATGTTAACAACTTAACACAAATGACGACGTACTTATCTGCAACCCAAACAGCATCACTGAAGCAATGGTAGAAAGGACAATGGCTGCTGCCGCAGAAAAGCCTTTCATGATGTTGTCGGTGTACTTAACCACAACAGACGTGTAGAGGCCTCCAACACTTGCGAGAACTTGTATACGGAAAGAAAGAAAACCTTAACACTCAAATAAATGAAACATTCCATAGTGGTGATGCAATTTTCATCCCCAGAGATGCCACACTAATTTACCTAGAAAAGGAAAGTACTATTTTCCTTCGAAGCAGTCATCTGAGTCTGTACTAAAATGGAGTAGCTCCTACACAACACTGTTTTTCCAAAACAATGCCCAAAGGGCTATATGGTCTACTACAAAATTGTACACATTTGTTGCTAACGCATTAGATACTTGGGTGGCAAAGCTGTCCCAAAGCAATTCTGTCTTCACAATCAAAAGTCAGTAAAACTGAAATTACATTTTCAAATGTATTCACAATGTCAAAGGAATAATTTTAAAATGTTGTAATGGCTTAAAACAGACATCTAACTTTTAAAAAGATATACTCAGAACCTTTAATTCCTGGATACTTACAGATGACAAACCAGACATAATATGTGTAACCATAGAAAAATCCTTTTTCTTTAATTTCAGCTCCATCTGACAAGTAGACGCCAACTAATGTCACAATAATCCCTGATAGATACATTTGAATGTTTCTCACCCAAAGGGAAGTGTCTGAACTCTTTAAAACTTTTTCAAAATACACTCCTGAAAGAAAATTAGACATAAGGATGTTAATTAAATAAAGATTATTATAAATTAAAAGATCTTTCATTTAGAACAAACACTAGAGATATGTAAAGTATATGCTTTGGGGAACAAATATACTTTTATGTTAGTTAAATGTGCATTATGTAGATTGTGATACATGGCATACTGAACATCACCGATTTACATTTTTACAGAACATATAGATTAATAACTAAGTGGGAACTTTATAAGCTACAGTGACTAGGAGGCTATTATTAAAAATATTGTTTCTGCCTTTATTACCACAATAAGATAGAGCACAAAAGCTCCCTGTTCTACTTTTTTTTTTTTTTTTTTTGAGTTGGAGTCTCACTCCGTCACCCAGACTGGAGTGCAGCGGCCGCTCCCGGCCACCGCAGCCTCGACCCGCTGGGCTCCGGCGATCCTTCCGCCTCAGCCTTCCGAGTAGCCGGAATTACAGGCATGCGCTACCACGCCCGGCTGATTTTTTGATTTATTGCAGAGATGAGGTCTCGCCAAGTTGCCCAGGCGGGTCTCGAACCCACGGGCTCAGGCAATCCACTCACCTCAGCCTCCCAAAGTGCTGGGATTACAGGCTGAGCCACCGAGCCCGGCTAGCTCCCTGTTCTTCTTAAGGCCAATAAGTTACTTGCTTTGGTCAGCTGAAAAACTGTACTATTAGTGTGAATTACTTAATCACATCCCTGTAATATCTGCCTAGCAATGAATACTCCAAACTTTGCAAAATGACCAATATAATCATGGCTTGGAATTGTTTTAGAGTAACACAACCAAAATACGATTTGAATAGAACTTGCTGAGTGAAACCATTTTCCTTTAAAGCAGGGAGCCACAAGCCAAGTTCATACACAGTGTTCGAAGGACCATGACCTCTCCCACTAAATAATAAATTTTGTGTGTATGTGCATTTTTCTGGCAATGAGGGTCCATAGGTTTTTTTTCTGATACACCACAGGGGTACATGACTGCCCCCCCCCAAAAAGTCATATGCCGCTGTTATACTTACAATGAATGCATGTTTCACAAGGACATTTAGTTTGTTTGTTTATTTATTTTGAGTTGGAGTCTCACTCTGTCGCCCAGGCAGGAGTGCAGTGGCACACTAACAGCCATCCCAGCTTAGACCTGCTGGGCTCTGGCGATCCTTCCGCCTCAGCCTTCCAAGTAGCTGAAACTACAGGCCCGCGCTACCACACCTGGCTAATTTTTGATTTAGTGTAGAGACAAGGTCTTGCCAAGTTGCCCGGACTGGACTTGAACTCGCAGGCTCAGGCAATCCCCTTGCCTCGGCCTCCCAAAGTGCTGGGATGACAGGCTGAGCCGTCGAGCCCGGCCAATTTGTTGGTTCTTAAGAATCAAGTTGCCGGGCATGGTGGCTCATGCCCGTAATCCCAGCACTTTGGAAGGCGGAGACGAGAGGACTGCCTGAGTCTACGGATCCGAAATCAGCCTGGGCAACTTAGCGAGACTTGGTCTCTACAATTAAAAAAAAAAAAATAGCCGTGTGTGGGGGCGCATGCCTGTGGTTCCAGTTACTTGGAAGGCTGAAGTGGAAGGATCACCTGAGCCCAACAGGTCGAGGCTGTGGTGACTGTGAGAGTGCCACTGCCCTCTAGCCTGGGTGACAAGAGTCAGACTCCTCCTCAAAAAAAAAAAAAAAAGAATAAAATTTAGCATTAAGTAAGTATATTCCTGAATTTACATTTTCCCCTCTTATAAAACAACTCATTTTACTTCTCTATCCGGCCTCCTCTCCTAGCCAAAAATAAAAACAGAGTCCTAACTCTATAAATAGGCACAAATAAGGACGAGTAAAATGTATAGCTATAACTAATATGCTCTCCTAAAAAGAGCTTTAAGTTCCATCCATCTCTGTTGGAACTATTTCTAAAGCACACTTCACTTCTTATGTTACACTTAATACTCATACTTGCTAGGCCAGATGCGGTGGCTCACGCCTCAGCCTTCGGGAGGCAGAGAGGAGAGGACTGCCTGAGCTCAGGGCTTCAAGACCAGCCTAACCAACATGGCGACACCCCGTCTCTACGGTAAATCAAAACATTAGCTGGGTGTTGTAGCATGTGCTTGTAGGTCCAGCCACTTGGAAAGCCGAGGCAGAAGGATCGCCTGAGGCCAGCAGGTCAAGGCTGCAGTGGCCATGAGCGTGCCACTGCACTCCAGCCTGGGCAACATAGTGACACTGGCTCAAAAAAAATTTTTTTTTTATACTTTCTTATCTTTTCTTGATTCATTGGAGGAATGCTTGTCCCTACACATATAGCTTCAGACTTCCATAAAATTATTTTTTTCCTTTCCTGAGTCAGTGTCTCACTCTGTCACCCAGACTGTAGTGGCACTATCACAGCTCACCACAGCCTCAACCTCCCAGGTTCAGGCGATCCTTCCACCTCAGCCTTTAGAGTGGCTGGGACTACAGGTGTGCGCCACCATGCCCAGTTAATTTTTTTTTATTTCCTATAAAGGCGAGGTCTCTCTCTGTTGCCTAAGCTGGTCTCAAATTCCTGGTATCAAGATGTCCTCCCACCTCAGCCTCCCAAAGTGCTGGACTTACAAGCATGAGCCGCCACGCTTGGCCTTCCATGAATAAGGACTGAGGTCTACACTGAGTTAAAGCTACACATTTACAGGAAAAACAGCTGCCACAAAACTAAATAAGTAAGAAGATAAAGCCTTAATGAAAATAAAATTATGATAAAGCAAGACAAACCAGATCCACATTTAAAGTTTGACATTTTCAAAATACATGAAAATAAAATGATGCTTTTATGATTTACCTGCAAATCCTGAGCACAATACAGCAATAGCTATAGCACCAAACCCTAATAATGGATTCTGTTCCACCTGCAATATTAATTTTTAAAGTTATTTTTAGTGACTAGCAAAGAGAATTCATCCAAGAGTCCAAACAAATGATTGCAGAAACCTGTTATAGTTTTATTCAAAGTATGTTCCATATCAGACACTGCTCTTCTATAGAATACGACAGGACCAAATAAAACAAACAGACCATTCCAGGCATTAACCAGAGCACTTGATTTAAGTTAAAAATGTGTCCCTCGATTCACAGCATGTGCTTAATTAATGTGTACCCCGTTTCCTAATGCCAATAAGCACTCTGGCATAAGGTTTTGCACAGATGGCATACTTCCTAATTTCATCTTCTGCTACCCCCCTGACTCAATCTTTATTATAGCATCAATCTTGGAAATGGTAACAATTTATTTCCCATCACTTATAGAATGAAGAGCTGGCTTTTAAGATTCACCATTTTACTAGATTTTTATAAAATATTTATAGTATACCTTCTGTGTACCAGATACATTATGTTTACGTATAGCTATGGTTTCGATGTCCACTCCAAAACTCATGTTATTTAATTGCCATTGTAGCCATATTAAGAGATGGAGCCTTTACGAGGGTTCCGGCCTCATGAAAGGATTAATGCCATCATAAGGGGAATAAGTAAGTGATCAAAAGAGTGGGCTCCTGACAAAACAGGATGAGTGCGGCCAACCTCCTGTGGCTCCGGGGCTCATGTCCACCTTCCCTCCTTCGGCCGTGGGACGACCCTCACCCGACGCCAGGGCCACGTTCGTGAACTCCCCACCCTCCAGAAGCGTGCACCAGATAAACTTCTGTTCTTTATGGATAATTACCCAGTCTGTGGCATTCTGTTAAAGCAGCAGACAATGGACTAAGACACAACTAAATGAATAAAGAAGATGACACACAGCTCCGGTTCTTGGTTCACGTATAGGCAAAATTGGCAAACACTGACTATACTACTATGAGACAAATGCTAACAGATGCATAAATAACAGTGAGTCCCAACCCACTGTTTCAACTTTATTTCCTCTTTCTTCTCTACATTAACCATCAGGACCTTTTATCAGTCTTTCCTGAGAGATAAACACTATCTCAACAGTATCTAAAATTAGAGAGCTGAGATTAATGACAAGGACAACAAGGAAGCATGTATTTTGTTTTTCAGAATAAATATGCCTGATGTAAGGAGAGCACTACTTTTGCTAAGTACCTGAGAAAGAAAGCTTGTTCTCAAGTATTTGCATGAAGATAAAAGGAGAAACAGAAGCCATTATGGACCAGTGGCTCTCAAAGTATGATCCCTGGACCTGCAGCAGCAGCATGCCCTGGAATTTGTTAGAAATGAAAACCGTCAGCCAGGCATGGTGGCTCACTCCTGTAGTCCCAGCACTTCGGGAGATGGAGGAGGGAAGACCTCTTGAGGCTAGGAGTTCAAGACCAGCCTCGGTACCAGAGTGAGACTCTCTCTCTACAAAAATATTTTAAGATTAGCCGGGTGTGGTGCCACACACCTGTAGTCCAAACCACTTAGAAGGCTGAGGTGGGAGGATCACTTGAGCCCAGGAGTTTGAGGCTGCAGTGAGCTATGATCATGCCACTGCACTCCAGCCTGGGCAACAGAGTGAGACCCTGTCTCTAAAAAAGTAAAAAGAAATGAAAATTGTCAGGCTCTATCTCATTATCTCAGCCTTACTGAAACTTAAAGTTTGAGAACCACTGCTACAGACTACAAATAATTAACTTGGCTACTTGACTAATACAAATTTTAAGACTGGCATAGATATGAGGGGAAAAAGGTGAGATTTTATCTATGCCAACATCTGTTGAGAAGCTAAATTCTTAACTTGCTTTCCTGCTAGCTTATAATGTCTCTACAGTTAGGAAAAACAGTGATGGAAACTACTTCTCTGGGCCTGATTCCGATTGATAAGAAACTGCTGTGTGATAAAGTGGACATGGTAGAAACTGTGATCTTAGCATGAGTAACAGCCTAAACACGGCACAGTCAAGAAACATGTGCTCTAGTCTTGAATAAATCAAAATTCAAAATTACAAAACCTCAAGTTAGAATTCCATGGCTTTCGCGACCCGCCTGGGCAATTTGAAGAGATCTCATTTCTACAATAAATCAAAAAATTAGCCAGGTGTGGTAGTGCGCGCCTGTAGTTCCAGCTCCTTGGAAGGCTGAGGCAGAAGGATCGCCGGAGCCCAGCAAGTCAAGGCTGTGGTGGCCGGGAGCGGCCACTGCACTCCAGTCTGGGCAACAGAGTGAGACTCCGACTCAAAAAAAAAAAAAAAAAAGAATTCCATGGCTAATGAGAAGATGGCTCAAGAGAGATGAAGAAATACTGAAGAATGAGGTTCTGGAGAAGAGTAAAAAAAGAAGACATAAAGAAATCAGCTTGACTAAACAAGGGCACTGACACTTTTACTGGATTTTGATTTTACAGGAACAAAAGAAATGAACTGCAGATCAAGAAGAATGTAACCAGAAATTTAAGAACAGTATCAAGAAATTGAAAACCCAGAATAAGTGGATGCTTGGAAAAAAAACTGTAAACGTTAAAAGGCGTTTAAAAGTATGTTTATTCTAGAAGAAAATAACATGTTTCTTGAGCTAGATAATATACTGTTAGAAAGCAAGAAAATAGTTGCCCGTGGCTGGGCACGGTGGCTCATGCCTATAATCCCAACACTTTAGGGAGGCCGAAGTGAGAGGACTGGAGGATTCGAGATCAGTCTGGGCAACTTGGTGAGACCTCATCTCTATAATAAATAAAAAAACTAGCTGGGTGTAGTGGCACATGCCTGTAGTCCTAGCTATTTGGAAGGCTGAGGTGGAAGGATCACCTGAGCTCAGCAGGTTGAGGCTGCAACGGCCACAAGCATGCCACCGCACTCCAGCCTGGGCAACAGAGTGGGACTCCAACTCAAAAAAAAAAAAAAAAGAAAGAAAGAAAGAAAGAAAAGAAAAAAAAGAAAATAGTTACCCAAATCTAGTTTCCATTTTCTCTGTGAATAATTTCTTAAATAATAAACACATTTAAAAGGGAACCGAAGTCTAAGACATCTGGTTTGCTAATGATAGGAATACCTAGCTAAATAAATGGAAAAATCTCTATCAAAAAAGTTGGTGAGTTAATGTACATAAAGCATTTAGAATAATGTTAGTGTTTAGTGCCATCATAAGTGATTGCAGCTGTGAGTATTTATACTGATTACTAACAAAATGTCAGAACAGACTTACTGATGACACACAGAACTTACAAAGTTTAATGGTCCTCAGTGAAGATTCGTGTGGCTTCCCTGAGCATGAAACACACTGATTTCCTTACTGAAAAAATTTCCAGTGTTAAGTGATATGGGGAATTCTATAGATATAACGTTTGGCAAGAAATCTTGGCAAGGTTTGCATAATATCTTTATGGACAAGAAGGAAATGAAGTGAAGGGAAAGGTGTGATCTATTCAAAATTGAGTTGAATGCTTATAAAGAAAAATGTTCATTAATTGAACAAATCAAGCTAGACTAGCACCCAACACCAACTTGCCAGGCACATGAATAAACCACCTTAAATCTTCCAGCCCCAGTCAAACCTTCAGCTGACTGCTTCCCTAGCCAATATCTTGACTGTACCTTACAAGCCCTCAAGCCAGAACCACCTAGCTAAGGCACCCTCAAATTTTTGATCCATAAAGACTATGAGAGATGATAAACATTTAGTAAGCAAGAAAAAAAATCAAGCTAGAAAGAATTCTAAAGATACAGCCAGACTGGGGGAAAGTGACTCATGCCTATAATCCCAGCACTTTGGGAGGCTGAAGCGGGAGGGTGGCTTGAGCCCAGCAGCTCGAGAGCAGTCTGGGTAACACAGCAAGATCTTGTCACTACAAAAAAATCAGAAAATTAGTTGGACATGGCAGCGCATGCCTACAGTCCTAGCTATTTAGGAGGCGGAGATGGAAGGGTCGCCTGAGTCCAGGGGGTCGAGGCTGCAGTGAGCTGTGAGCATGCCACTGCATTCCAGCCTTGGCGACAGAGTGAGATTCTGACTCAAAAACAACATAAAAGTATAGCCAAAGAACTCTGGCTCTAATCTGTCTAAAATTTTCAGTGAAGACCCAGAAGGCATTTGCCTCCAGAAAGCACAATACTCATGCAGCTAATAACGGGTAGGACCCGTAAAGAACTCAAAAGGTTGATCAACGACCCAAAGCTAACAAGATGAGCTTAATAATAGAAATACATCCTGCATCTTGGCGAAGAAGGAGTTCATTCTACATGACACGTTTGAGACAAACTATGCAACACAGGTACATGCAGTTGTGTACAATCAATTATAGACCAGATACCCTGTCCCCTCAAAAATCAATACAGTCATGTACCACATAATAATGTTCCAGTCAATGACAGACCACATGTCCAACAGTGGTCCCAAAAGATTATAAAATCATGTTTGTACTGTACCTTTTCTACATTTAGACACAAATTCCTACCATTGTGTTACATGTCTACAGTATTCAGTACAGTAACATGCCGACAAGTTTGTAGCAATAAGCTGTTCTCACAATGATGGAATCACCTACTGATGCATTTTCAGAATCCAACATATACCCATCATTAGGCAACACATGACTATAATCTTGTGCTGATTTGACAAGTCCCTAGTATTCAGAACAAAGCAGGTGACTACCAAGTTATCCTCAGACTACTAAAACAACTTGTGGAGTTTTAGGACATTCTAGCCGGGTGTGGTGACTCAAGCCTGTAATCCCAGCACTTTAGGAGGCCAAGGTGAGAGGACTGCTGAGCCCAGGGGTTCAAGACCAGCCTGGGCAACCTGGCAAGGCCTCGTCTCCACAATAAATAAAAAAAAAATTAGCCTGGTGTGGTGGCGCACACCTGTAGTTCTAGCTACTTGGAAGGCTGAGGCGGAAGGATCACCGGAGCCCAGCAGGTCGAGGCTGTGGTGGCCGTGAACGTGCCACTGCACTTCACCCTGGGCAACAAAGTGAGACTCCAACAAAAAAAATAAAAGGGACATTCTGAGAAATAATGACAGAAGAATGCATCTAGAAACACAGAAAGTGCAGAGGCAGGAGGTAAGGACTGGGACATCTCTGCCTAGAAACCACATTGCAGACAGAAACAATAAGGCTGCTTAAATGGGGGAAGGAGAGAACTTGGAGGGTGGGATGGTGAAATTGTCCTCAAACATTCACAGTGTCATATGGAGTTAGAAGGGATGTGCATTATTCTCACAAGAATCATGAGAAACGAGAGGCAGTTACAGAAGGCTGCATTCTGTTCTACATTCTGTTTAAAATACGAAAGCACTTTCTAGAGTGGCCCAAAACTAAGATAAGCTGCCCTTCACTCTGCTTTAGCCAACTAGGCTGGGCACATACATTACCTATGTGAGTTGGTATCTCACTTTTCTAATGGTGTGAAATGCTACTTAGTTCTCATATTTAACTTGTGTTTGTCTTACTTCACAAACCAACTATTTCTCTAAAGCTCTACAGCTGAGTTAAATGTGCAGTACATACTTAACAAATATCTTGAAATGTTACCAAGAATATGAACATACTTCCACATCATCTGAAGACAATAAATATTCACCTAAGACTCATTTTCTGAAAACAAAACAAACCTCCACCAAGCTACAGAGTAACTACTAAAAAGGAACAGACTTCCTGCTTTCACAGGCTCTCTGTACACTTGCAGCTGCCTTCTATTCCTCAGGCAGCCACAGTCCATTTGCTGAAAGCTAAAGAGAGTCCTGTGCTCAGCTGCAGAGGGGAACCCCTGACCTTCAGAAAACCACTCCCTCGCATTCCACTTCCTACTTTGCTGTGGGGAAATAACTGGCTGAGGGGCATAAGGACAAATCGGATCCGTACCCTAACAAGGACTCTTACAAACCCAAGAAGTAATCAGGCATTCTTGCCCTGCTTCATGATCAATGACGGCTGAGGACACTGTCATCCCTATCGCTGACAGTGGGAATATGTGCCCTAGCGCAAGAGGCTGTGAGTTGAGGGAGGAGACGAAAACGAGATGGAGACAGCCTGGCTCAGTGTTTCTGAGAGGATGTCTAGAGAGGTCTACAAGTTCTGAACCCACACGTGTGTGGAAGCTGGCAGTTTCTGCCACAACTTTGGACAAGTTTGTCATCCATAAGATGAAGGGGGTGGAAAACATTATGTCCAAGGTGCCCACCATCCCTAACACATGCTAGATGTACTCTCCCGTGAGAAACAGAAAGCCAGTAAGTATAATTTTCCCTAATAATATTATGCTAAAGAAGAAGCCCGTCTAGAAGGCAAAAATTATTTTAAAGAAATGTAATCATACTGCATGCATCAATGTGACTGTCCAAAGTGCATAAGATGTGAGGGAATTTCCTATACAGCTATGGGATGCATTTCGTTTCTTACCACAACTTTTGTCGCTTGGGCTGGCTTCCACTGTACAAGTGTGACCCCGCCACACAGCATGAAAACTGAAATCCACTGCAATTTGCTGAGTGTTCGGTTTAACATTAAAACGGTACATAAAGCAGTACAGGGGATCTTCAACTGGTAGGTCACCTGGGAACAAAGTGACAAAGGAACAGATCCACTTACCGTTAGTTTGTGAGACAAACATATTAACACCGTTTCTGATCTCACTAATCATCAAGAAAAAGATCTGCTACGTGGCGAAGAGGGAACGAGAACGCTTTTCACCGTAAAAGCGTGCTTTGCATGGTCATTAACCCCACATACCTGGTACACAGCTGCATCCAAGTTGCTCAGCGCTAGGAAAGCCATGTTGTTCTGAACAGCATACACCAGGGAAGGTACACTTAGCTTCATCAGTTCCTTCGGGCTCCCCAAGACGTGCTCTCTTAAAGATGCCTCGAATCTGCCCAGACTGCCGGTTTCTCTTTGAAAACAAGATGAGGAAAGGGGCGGGAAGGGAGGAAGGAAATGCTCTCAACAAGGGCCCTTCGCACAGCACAGGTGTCCGATGTTAAGTTCACTGACGTAAGTCAGCAGACGGTGAAATACACAATTTTCAACGAATTTTGCATTTATCAAAAGAAACACACTAACAATGTATCCCAATTAGAAAAATTACAAGTCCTATTTGGGAAAATATGACAACAACTAGACTTGCCACTATCAACCCGTGGTCAAAACTTTAGGAGGTTCTGAATGTATCAATTAATGAGATCAGAAGACCAGAATTGCTATGACCTATAAAAAAAATTAAACCCCTGCCTCTTTAATAGTACTGCATCAAGTTCAGCCTGAATACTTTTCAATCAATCAGGCTACATATCTATTTTTAAAGTTTTTAAAAACTACAATAGATTTAATTACAAACAAGAAAAAAGCTTTGGTAGTTATGAAGTTACTTGGGTCAGGAATAAAGTGATTCAGGTCAATGTTATTTATAAATGAATTTAATACTTACGAAATATAGTAGATAATACATCTTTAATTTATATAGGCATATTCTCAGAAAATTTAATATCTGTAGGAAATCTGAATAATTTATTAATCACTCCAAAAAAACAATATCTGTAATGTACATAAAGTTTGCTAGTTGGCTGTATATTGATTATGCATGCTTTAACTATTCTTATTTTTGCTATTATTATTTCAAGAGGAACTGCTAATGTGACTCATATTTTCTCTATTGTAAATCACTTCATTTCCTGAACATGAAAAAAATAATGTTTTATAATAAGCACCAATACCCCCAAAAGCACTTTATCAAAATGGTCCTACCTGCAACTCACAATGTCCTTAAGAGGACAGCAATACTTTGTTGATGACACAGTGCTATTTCAACTCAAAGTCTGAGAATCACAATAAACCCCTATATATTTGTTTTTTGGTTTGGTTTTGAGTTGGAGTCTCACTCTATCTCCTAGGCTCAAAGTGCAATGGTATGCTCACGGCCACTGCAACCTCGACCTGCTGGGCTCAGGCAATCCTCCTGCCTACGCCTTCCAAGTAGCTGGAACTACAGGCACGCACTACAAAACCCGGCTTATTTTTTTATTTACTGTAGAGATGAGGTCTCACCAAGTTGCCCAGGCTGTCTTGAACCACTGGACTCAGGAGATCCTCTCGCCTTGGCCTTCCAAAGTGCTGGGATTACAAGCTTGAGTCACCATGACCAACAACTTCTATATTTTTGGTTAACATATTAGAATCAAAAGTTGTGAATTGAATTTTTTCATACTTAAGTGCTGAAAAATAATTACCTAAATTCTGAGGGAAAGTAAAAGTCCATCAAGTCAAACTGACCAACTTGTTTCTATTTATTCACTGTAGAACATTCCACCCCCAAGAAAATGCTTAATTAATAAGGCAGGAAATTTAGCCTAGACCACAGAAACAAAAGACGTCCTTCTTAGTTACACATTTTTTCTGCTACCAAATTCAACACTGTTCCACACCAGTGTTAAATCTATGTGCTGAAAAGTAATGTACACAGCCTGGTAGTAGACTACAAATTACCAGAAAAGGGAAAGAATACCAAAAAGATTATTCCACTGAAAAACCTACCTAGTAGAGTTTCCCAGGTGTCTGAAGACTGGCTCTTTAACATGATAGTTGGCGTTTTTTTAGCTGTTTAATACAAATCTAAGAAGTCCTGTAAACTTTCCTGACATCTTAAATAGAGCATAAAGAAGTTTCTCAAGAAAGTTTTCCCTTCAATTATAAAGCTGAAGGAAAAAATGAAAGAGAAAAAGAGATAAAAATAAAAAAGAAACACCTTACTAAGGGGATATATTAGAAAATATCAACATTTTATTTTCATAATTATCACATCAGTATCATGATCCCATAGATATAAATTTTACAGACTGTACACACTGCTTTTTACAGACCCCATCCTGCTTTCACTATTCTATTCCTTTTGGTGCCCCTCTAAAGGCTAAGTTACACACTGATGCACTTTCAGGGTGGTATCCCGAAGGAACAACTGAGAGGTATTGGAGTCCACACTCCACCTGTATCTGTCTCCCATGTTTATCTCCCCCATACAATTCTTCAAGCTGAACCCTCAAAGGCTACAGTATATAGCCATCTATCCTTCCCCTAATCTCCAACTATGGGCAATGCCATTTTACCTCCAACTCTTAAAGATATTATAAGCCTTGCTGAGTGCAGTGGCTCATGCCTGTGATCCCAGTGTTTTGGGAGGCTGAGGTGGAAGGGCCGATGAGGCCAGAAGTTCGAGACCAGCCTGGGGAACATACCAAGATCCCACCTCTACCAAGATCCCACCTCTACAGGTGTAGAAGTGTACACCTGTAGTCTCGGCTAATCAAGAGGCTGAGTCAGAAGGATCACTTGAGCCCAGACACTGGAGGCAACACAGCAAGACCTTGTTTCTACAAAAAAAAAAAAAAAAGTTAACCACATGTGGGGCATGGGCCTATAGTTCTGGCCACTTGGGAGACTGAGGCCGAAGGATCACTTAAGCCCAGGAGGTCGGAGCTGCGGTGAACCGTGATCATGCCACTGCACTCCAGTCTGGGAAACAGAGTAAGACTCTGACTCAAAAACCAAACAAAAGCAAAAAAGTAAGCTATGGGAAGCCTTCAGTGGTGTCAAATGACTTTTTCTGGCTACAGAAAACAGGGTTGGTCTCTTTGCCCCTCAGAATACGAACTCCTGCAGATCCAACTGTGACTCCACAAACCAGCACACCAGCGCCAACACTCAAGACTGCTGTGGTCCCTTTTCTCCCCACCACTTTTCTTCCTTCTCAACCCTGTCCCCTCGCTTTTCAGCTTTCACATAAAAAGGAGGGCTCAAGAAACAAATGAGCAGCCAATCTGAGCACCTTTCTTTCAGTGTGGCAAACCGGAAAAGCAGTGTATCACCACTGGCCCTCACCTACCCCTTCTGTTGGCTGCTTTGGATCTATTTTTTCACTGCCAGGAAGGCTGGAGTCTCTTTTTCTGGTTATTTCTCTAATGCAGACATTAGAGAAGCCAAGATATACCAGAATGTTCATTGCTGGAAAGCGCAAATGTGGCTGTGGTACCACAGAATCATAGCAATATTATATAATTATAAGGCATTTGAAATAAGTTACAAAAATAACAAAGGATACTAAAACAACTAGTAAAATAGAGTAACAGAAAAGCATCAGAAAGTAGACAAAGATTTAAAGAAGGTAAATGATTTCAATACTAAATGGATTACATCCTGCTTAAATTAACATTTGTTAAGAATACAGCTCATAAATCTTGTATTTTGCTTGACACTAAAGTTATATAAAAGAGCAGTACGTCTTCTAGAAAACACTAGTAATCATCTGTCCCTTTGTTTTATTATTTTTTGAGTTGGGATTTCACTCTGTCACTCAAGCTGGAGTGCAGTGGCACAATCACCGCTCACAATAGCCTCAACCTCCTGGGCTCAGGAGATCCTTCTGCCTCAGCCTCCCAAGTACCTGAGACTACAGGTGCATGTCACTGTGCCTGGCTAATTATTTTTTATTTTTTGTACAGGTGAGATTTTGCTATGTTGCCCAGGCTGGTCTCAAACTCCTGGGCTCAAGCAATCTTCCTGCCTCAGCCTCTCAAAGTGCTGGGATTACAGGCATGAGCCACCGCATCAGGTTGTTTTAGCATTAAGGAGAAAAAATAAATGATCAGTTCTAAATATACTGTAGCCTTGAATATATTATTAAAAGGAACACATAAAAACCAAAGGATATTTTTTCTTTCATTTTCCTGAACTTTTATTTTATTGGAAATCAAATCACAAGCACATTAGTATTTTTTGTTAAAAACAAATTTATTAAATTTAATTACATAAATGACATTACTAAATAAGAGCATGTATAATCAAAAGCATATAGTAAAATTTTTTCAAATATAGTCTCCCTCATTCTCTGTTTGAACAATTCCTTTGATTTTTATCATTGGAATAGAATCTGTGTGTAACCTTTGGTCATCTGAAGAAATCTGTCAGTCCATGTTGACTGCAGAGAGATTCCGCTGCTGCCTCCCCACTAAATTTCCTATCAACTAGCTGAAACCAGATCTTTCTGACTTATGTTTGGTCAGAAGTAGGCCTCTTTCTTCCAGCTCCTGAAATGACGAAACTACTAGGAGGCATAAAATCCTTGGCTAGCTTACCAAGACACTGTGCAAAATGGAACAGAGCAGAAGTTACTCATGAGCTTAAGAAATTTAAATTTTTTTCACAAATTTCTTACCATCTGCAAAGTATAATAAACTCACATAAATGACTCTGAAGGGCTAGGTTAAAAAAATAATGAGGTCAGGCCGGGCTTGGTGGCTCAGCCTGTAATCCCGTGCTTTGGGAGGCCAAGGTGAGTGAATTGCCTGAGCCCGTGGGTTCGAGACCTGCCTGGGCAACTTGGCGAGACCTCATCTCTACAATAAATCAAAAAAATTAGCTGGGCGTGGTAGCGTGCACCTGTAGTTCCAGCTACTTGGAAGGCCGAAGCAAAAGGATCGCCGGAGCCCTGCAGCCGGAGCCCAGCGGGTCAAGGCTATGGTGGCCGGGCGACAGAGTGAGACTCCAAGTCAAAAAAAATTAATAATAATAATGAGGTCAATTTGAGGACAAAAATATCCATCATATGAGGTACATGATTTTTACTTCCTTCCTAAGACTCTGAATCCATTATAGCACGGGTATAAGGAGGCAGTGAAAATGTCAACCCAGAAGGAGAAATAAACAGAGCTAGATAATCTATACTGTGAATATTTGACAGCTACATTAATTAGTGTAGATAATGCTATCAAACAGTAAAAGAGTTTACTCTGGTCTTAATGTGTAGTTCAGAGTTAAGATATATCTGGTTTGTTACCAAACACACCCAAAGTATAGGTACATAAACATTTACACATCCTGCTAGGGATACTTAGTCTTTATAAA